ATTTAAATCAATGACTGTGATTGGTGAAATCAACAAATAAAGTCAACATTTTATGTCAATGTAACATTGCTCATAAATAAAACTCTCTTCTGGTTATAGACAAAACTATCACCAAGAAACACTCAGTTTAAAGAAAACTCATTAGAGATAATATCTCAACTCTACTACATTCATATCAAAGATAGTTTCTAACTCTCAAAAGCTAGGTTCCCATTTATAGAAATTTTCAGATCCTTTATTTCTCAAATTCCAACAAATAGAAATCAACAATGCTACTCGAACGAAATCCTTACGAACTTTTGTTTCCCAGATCCATGTGCATTTGGTAAGCAAAAATGGAGTGAGAGTTTGGGTGTCCGCAAGCATTCTCAATATGAATGACTTGTATCAACTGCTATAATAGGACTGCAAATACATTATTTCAAATTTGGTGTCATGTCTAAATTACGTGGGTCATAATTATATTAGGTATAGTCAGGCTTGTATCAACTCATCTATTAAATGGGTCTGATGAGTCAAACTAATAATCCTGTTAAACCATTGAAGTTATAGTGACACCTATTGCCTTAATGTTTATTTCTTGTCAGATTGGTGGTATATTAAAAACTAGTTATTGTCCGTGCTCGAATGTACATAGTAATAAAAAAAATTGTCAATCATGAACATATTTGTATTTACACTCAAAATCAAATCACAAATATAAAAGAGAGAGAAAAGAATTTAAGCACCAGTTATAATGGGGATGAGTGGTGGCTGGCTGCAGTGGTGATGGTGGGAGACAGTGATTGTTATAGTGGGCGACGATGACTGTGGTGGTGGTGACAATCGTGGGTGGCAACTGTGATGATGGTGGTGGGTGTGAATGGTGGTGGGTGATGGTAGTGGTAGGTATGAGTGACAGTGGGTGGCGAAAATGGTAGGCGATGACGAGTGGTGGTAGTTTGTGGTAGTGGGTGGTGGTGGGTGGTAAAAGTGGGTGACGGTGGAGGTGAAATGATAGTGGTAGTGATAATAAATATAAGAATGAGATGATGATAGTGGTCGGTGGTGGCGGTGGGCGCCGGTGAAAGTAATAAATGGTGGTTGTGGTAGAGGTAGTGGTGGGGATGGCTGAGGTGGCGGTGGGTGGCAATGGAAGTAATAAGCAATGGTTGTGGTAGAGGTGGTGGTGGGATGGCGGCGGTGGCAGTGGTGATCGATCATGAATTTTTGTTATCGATCATTACTAACCTTAATTAGTTTTTACAATAAATAATGAAATTTTATTATCGGTAATTTCCTTGTGCAGTTTAAACTCACACTCCGATTATCAGTTTTAACTTATTATCACCTATTATCGCTCTCACTTGTTCTTTGTGTCATCAACTCTCAGAATGTCATCATCATTTGTTCTTTGAGTGCCCCTTTTCTTTTGGTATTTCGACTCAGCTGATGCAACAATGTATCCAGCAACCTCAAGCTCTCCAATGGAATGACTACATTGCCTAGGCAAGTGTTAATTGGAAAGAAAAATCTTTAAAGGTTGTTCTCCTCAAGCTCTGCCTCTCTGTCATTGTTTACAACTTATGGAGGGAGAGAAACAATAGGATCTTTAACAATCTGGTTACATCCCAACAAAGTTTGCTTTTCAGGATTCAGACAACTATCAGAGAAAGACTTTATGTACTTAAGTTCAAGGCCAATCCTCAGAATCTGCTCTTAGTGTATCATTGAAACCTCTCATTTGTTTGTCTTGTTTGAGAGTTTTTGTGCTTTGCTACTGCCCAGGGATGGGATTGGGGTCAAAGTAAAGTCATTTGTTCTACTTCAATTTTAATGCCTTCTTTGTGGTGTTCTGATCATGGCTTGACTATGCAAGTTTTCTTTTGTATATTTGTAATTTTTTTTGTCTTAATACAAGTTTAGATTTTGAAAAAAAAATAAATAAATAAAGAATTTCAGGAGTAAAGTGCCATTGTTATGTTTTTACAAAAGAAAACACTAACATCGCCAAGGTTTTACGGTGTGATACATTTATCTTTGGGAGGATATATAAATATATTAATGTTAAAGTACTTGAGGGATACAATGTGATTTGTCCTCCAAAAGAAAGTAAAGTATTGGCTTTCTGTTTACCTTGTGGCATGGATGTGATCAATTCCTAACCCTTAAGCCATGTATCGGGATGATAGAGTGAAATGGTTGTTAAACAACCATTTATTTCAAAAATTTAAACTGTTAGAGCTGATGTAATTTATGTATTTATACATTAACAAAGAGAAAAAAATACAATAATATGCCAAAAGACAAAGAAACCAAAAGGATAAGTGTCTGTTTGACAGACAACTCAAAAGTCCATCTTATGGATGCAAACACTTCTCAAAGAGATAAAATTGTTTGGTGTCCAAAAAAAATTGGACTTATCAAAAAGTGCATATTCAAATGCCCATTATAGACAAATTATTGGCAAGGAAATGAAGTGAAAGCATAAAAAACTAGGAAATCAATTCAACTCAATTATTTAAGGATCTCTCTTTGCCACTTCCTTCTTTGTGGTCTAGCATGAGAACCCATAGAACTATATATAGAAATATCTGGTCATTCTAAAAGACTTCTATATACTTAAACATTATTAGAAGACAAGTATTTTCACTTTTTGTCTGACTAGAACTGGAAAAGTTGATTATTTGCTTAGTTGGTGTAGTGCTAAGGTGAGAGCGATTTGGTCTTTACATGACCACATTAATTATATCCATTCGCTTAGACAAATAAATAATATCCGTATTTATAACTCACCATTCACCTGCACCCAATTATGAAGAAGTTATCGACACTTAACAAATCATTCGGACTTGTATTCACTCACTTATCATTAATTTTCCCAGGCTTCATACATCACATTCACAATCCATGCCATAAGTTTAGTAAAAGATGAAAGGATGCTGCCTTAATTGAAGAGGACCTCAATAGCCATTGCAAAGAACAGTATTCCCATAAAATAGGATAATGCGATAAATATAATATAGTCTTATGGATATTACAACAAGTAACCATCTCTGAATTCTCAAGTCATAGAGAGATGATAGAACACATTGCTTGTATGAATGTGAGCATGAGAAGAATAGATGATAGAACACACCCCATCTCCCTGCATGATGAGGTCTAAAGCTTCGAAGAGAGGTTCCAATGCATCTACTTCTATACAAATTATAACATAAGTTGCTCTACTATCGTCTTCTATTAGCTAATCTATATACAATGGTCTACTAATTACAATATCAATGAAGTTGAATCTATTGGCATCAATAGTCAGCTTAAGTTAACTTCTGCTAAAGCAATGAAACCCTACCTCACCCACCACCTCTTTCCCCCTTTCTTCTGGGCACTCCTCACCAGGCCCAAATCCTTCCATTAACTCCTATTTAATCTTACCTGAATCCCCTTCTACCCTTTGTGCGTCTTTGTCTTTTCCCTTTTGTCCTTTCCCGTTTGTTTCCATGGCAATCCCCAAGGAAACCCCTTTTGAAATTAAAAAGGAGCTTACTCCTTTCGGCTTAAATGCTTGCTCGGTGTTGGGTCCATTAAATGGACAAGTCATTAAAGTGCTGCACAAAGCTTCTGGAAAATGAATCTAACGGGAATACTACGGTCATGGAGGTTAACCCAAATGGAGCTGCTACTGTGGTGGCAGGATGCTCTGTTCCAAGTGATGTTTATGTCGATGAGTGGTCTGCTGATATTTCTACGTAAATACCCACCGCAAAATGTGGTTTCCTTGGTATGGCCCTTGATAATTCAGAGGGTACCTGGAGTAACGAGGTAGAGCCAAGTAACCTTGTGGAGCTAATGCTCGAAAATGAGATGCTAAGGACGATGGTTGAGACCAATAGGAATTTTGATCAAGGGGTTTTGAACCGTAGAGGTTTGGCTGCTGGTCGAGGAAATGGAAGAGGTCCATCACAAGAGGGTGGAAGGACTGGCAGTAACACATCCACTTGGGTGGCAAGGGTGATGTTGGAAATGGCCATAGGAACAGAACTAATGCAAGGCTGCTAGGAAAACAGAGTTTTGGGGCAACACCAAGCCCATCAACAGGTACTCCCTCCAACCCTTCTCTTAATCAAGAGACTTTTGTTAATGCTCTAGTTGAAAAGCAATCTGGCACATCTTGGGTTAGCAAAGTGAGGCATAACCCCAGATCAGTTATTGAGATGGAATTTATGGCCCCTAGCATGAACAATGGTAGGATTACGGTCCAACCTCCCAAGCAGGTTGCTCTAAATGGGAGGCAAGCATTGTGGATTATTTTATTGGCAAGAAATTGCCTTATAATTTGGTTAAGGCATCTGCTTTGAGAATGTAGAGTACGAAGGGTTTGTTTGAAGTCACTGCCAATCAAGCACTGCCAAAATATGTAGCAGCCACCATCATTCAATCCCAAAAAACATGGATCAGCTGAGAGGGTTAGCACCTCAGAAACAGGCAGCTTTCAAACCACCCCAACAGCAAAGAAATCCATTGCATCCTAGAACCCCAAGCTGGAACCAAGAAATTAGATGAAATAGCCCAAGTGGCATGAACAGTGTAACCCAAGTGACATATGGGTGAAGCTTCCATTAGACCCATGGTCAAAATCCAAAATGGCGTGAACAGAGCCAAAAGGAAGCAGTCTGATGAAAAAAAGAAAAACGCCAACAAGAGTTGGCTTTAATCCTTCAATATGAAAAGATTCCTGAAATTAGAACCAGGTAGAACCTTACATAAATACTGCCCAGAACATGAGAAATACATTTTCCCCAAACTGAAACTGAACATTCAACACTGCCCAGAACACTAAGCAGCAAATGCACCTCCAAACAACCATTGCATCACTGTACTGCATCTTCTGATCTTCACATTCAGCTCCTGGAATTTGTCCAGCTACTGAGCATGCTGTTTAGTACCTTTGAACCAGACAGATTCTGGCAGACACTTCGTAGCCTTCAAAATGCACAGGCAACAAACATCTCCAATGCACAACATCACCCTGGCATCATCCCAGCTGCTATCCTCAAACCCTGCACAACAGTGTAGCAGAAACGCAGCAGATACAACCCCATTAAACTGCCTGCTCCATTCAATATACCTCCTGAACTGATTCTGCTAAAACACATCCAGCTGCAAGCAGTACCCACAAACAGAAACCAAGGGTCATTACAAAGGCAAGGTACCCTTAATAACAACCTTTCTACTGCACTAGGCCTGAACACCTTAGCCTGCATTCTCAAAACCTCACAAACTCTTACAAAAATAGCGCCAGTACATAAATAGCCCTCATCATAAACTCTCCTACATGATCAATAGGTGCATACATACAAATTATTTGTGTTTTGCAAATAGCAGCTACAAGGAATAATAAAAAGCAAGCTGGTCTGTAAGCTGATTGAATTGGTAGGACTAATGTATTCAGTAAGAATACTGTAGTGGGAGGGGCTTAAATATAAAACAATGTTGAAGTGGCGTGATTTAAAAAATAATGACTCAAAACCAGAATAGGTATGCTGAATATTTAGCATCAAATAGTGCATACCTCAAAGTGACGCCCTTTGGAACAATTTCGTCCATTTTACTGTGACAAATGCTGTATAGCCCAACAAGTTCTTTCTGCATAGATATAACATATTAATTCATGACTTCATGATTTCAATCCAAAATTTGGCATGGCCATAGACAGCTGAACTAAACTGTGCACATATATTTCTGGTGAATACTAGGACTCCTTAAAAATTATTGTAACACATGCAGCAACATTGTTAATTCATTTAACATATAAATCATTTGTGTCAAGGATTCATCAGATAGAGGTTTAATTTTCATTGGCCAGAAAAGTGACCTAGTTTCTTCATAGGGGAGTCAAGGCCCCTAACTAATCGATGTACAGGTTAGGCAAGAGTAATTCCACTTAACATTTCTCTAAGCACAAGGATTGCATCCCTGGTTTTTAAAACCTCAGAAGAAGGATTCACTGATAAAGAGCAATCAGCTATAAACAACCTGTAAATTATAAGTTTACTAAACATATTTGAAGACTTTTGAGCTGTATGGACACCTAAAAGACTTGCAATAATGTAGAAGACGTGCAATCTGGAACTCTAACTTTCATTGTTGCTATGCACTCCATTTGCTTACTTTATGGTGCAATTATATTCTAATCAATTAAGAATCAAGTACACTTCAAACAAAAGTTCGATATGCATACTGTGCCATTGCCAAGAAAAGATTATAACTAATTGTGTGCACACTTGGTGGAAAAGGCATTTACATAGCCATGAGTTGCCAATGTGTATTCATTCCAGACCCAGATTTAAGGGAAGCCGCAGTTAAATAACTGAAAAATGCACAAAAGTAGCACCTCATCTGAACTGACTGATTGATCTAACAAAGATGAAGTGCTTTCGATAGCAACTTTTTGAACATGCATTCCATAAACACGACCTCTCTTTGACTGATCAGCAACCATTTTGAGCATTGCCAAGGTGTCATACCCATTTCCACAAGTGGCATCAACAACCGCATCCCCTTTCCAGACAACATGTTTCCACACCCTGTTAAAGGAAATAAACACGTAAAAAAAGGGCATCATTTAAGTGATACTTTGAACTACTTTTATACAAAATATGACTACAGACCTGTTTTAAAGATTAGTAAAATTGATTAATTGAGCAATTATAGAAACAAAAAATTTTCCTAAAGGAGACAGAGGCTCACAAGTCACAACCTTGGGGCATAAATTGTATTTCCAAAAGCCTCAAAGAAGGCTTCAAAAATTTGATAGTATAGTTGTACGAAGAGCAATCAAAATCCAAGGAACATAGCAAATGTAAATTCATTTTTCAAATTCGCATGTTGGGCCTATCAGTAGTGCAAGCTGTGCTGCACTACTAATTCTCATGACAACGAGTGAAGTTGATTAATATGGGAGTTTTACTGTTCAACTAACTGCACCAATAGTGAGCTAACACAAAGCTATTGAAATCATTGGAATAAAACAAGAAGATTGAAAGAGCATGAAAGCAGGGTGAAAAAGATGATTCATATTTTTTCACAGTAACTAATACATGCATGCCCATGTTCCATATAACCAAGATTTGAACCCTACACGTACTACTTTGCCAACAGCAGGAGATACCACTCAAGCTAACAGCAGATGATCCCTCGATAACTTTTTCAACTTTGCGAAAATAGATTTTTAAAAAGCTGGTAGACATATTAATGCAGACAAGAAGAGCGCAAAAAAAAAAAAAACAAACAAACGAGTGTGGCAAATTTCTAAACAAAACATCACCAAAATTGATGAAACAAGACAATGTGTTCCAATCTTTCCTTGTGTAGGCTCTTAATTTCGTAGTTCATGCAAGCTCATAGATGCAAACTAAGAAACTTAAAACTTTACCACCAAAATTCTTGAAATAAGACAATGTGTTCCAGTCTTTCCTTGTGTATAATTTCTTAGTTCATACAAGCTCATAGATACGAGCTAAAAAACTTAAAACTCTACTAGATTTAGCATGTGCTTTTGGTAATATTGGTGTTTGTTAGGATACAGAATATGACAGTATAAATGCATGAATGAAAGGATTGGCTGGATTGGAAATACCTTTTGCATCTGTGCAACCACCAACTCAGGGCTCTCTGGTATTCCATGTTCTAGAAAGGCTTGAAGCATTGTGTATATAGTTAGTGGCTCTTTCTTTTATACCAAACACACGACAAACATGGCATAGGATTTAAAGTGAATGCACCAACCAATCCAACCACTCCACCAACCAATCCAACCACTCCCGATATATGGAGGACTATCCAAAATATATCTTAAATAGTTTATTGAAATATGTTCATAAAATGATTTCACATTCATTCATCATGCACGAATTGTAAGTGTTGATCTAAAAAGCAAGCTTCTCTTGATGGTTAAGGCCTTGTAAGTCAACCAATGCAAGTTTCCCAAGTAGGAGTTGGAGAAAACAAGAGACACTATATTTAAGCCGAAGCAGATATGAGACATATGAATTCAAATTTTGAGCAAAGGCTCGTAATTTTCGATACCCCTAGCAGTGCAACACTGTGCACCAATTATCCTTTCTAGACAACACATATTAAGATACAAAGAAGACTACTGTGATGTCTGAATTTTCAGAAGCAACTATACAAAATATAGGACATTTTCATGGTCAACAAACTGTTCATGCTCAGTTTCAAGAGAAAATTCTTGACCAGGTGAGCCATCAATAATGTCCAGATCTGCAGGCTGGACACTATGCCATAACTGTGTCATAGTGGGTGTTTCCTTGCAAGCACGTGACATAACTTTATTTGGACAGTTAAACACATGAATTAAATTCCTAAAATTTCTGGGTAACACTGAACATGCACATAAATTTGTCGATGAAAAGAAAATTCAGCAAACTTAACTTACTGATCCATTGACAGTCAAGCAAGGACAAGACTCATTTTAAATAGTTTGATCATTTGCAAACAAAGATCAATTTCTTCTGAAGTAGGAAATAATAATGTCCCTTTGTGCAAAATGAAGCCATTATACTCCTTATCAGGATCCTAGCATCAAATAACTTCAAACAGGTGATCATGTAAACATTCGTATGAGCCATGAGCACATATCAACATAATAAATGGTACCTTGAATGCAGGTGCACCCATTTTAACAATCACCCATTTTGTGCGGACCCTTTTCCTGAGCAACTCCTGGGCTGCCAGTATTGGATTTCCTATGCCAGTCAATGATTCAGCCTGACAAGCCATCAACATAAGCTATATTACTAGGATGAAAAGTGAAAATTATACTAAACTGGATGACGCATCATATAAATCACATTAGATACAACAAAAGTTGCCCACACTTCCTTACGGATAGAATTGATGATGTCGGATGTTAGTTTCATTTATTAACGAATCAAATTTACTCTTTCCAGATTCCTTCAAAGGACTGGAAGATAAATATAGACAGGCCGATCCACAGTGAAGCCTTAGACATGAGTACGGATAGTTCATTTAGAGAACTGTATAGTCTTTATACCTCAAAACAATTAATGTTACAGGTGGTGTGGACCGAACAAATTCAGTGAACTTACACACTTTCAATGATCAAATATATTAGGTACCTATTAGCCAGCGTAAAAAATAATTAGAAGTTCATGCAGCTTAAAACAACCACATCATGTTTCAACTAACCAACCTACCTGAAGCTTATAACATTACAAGTTTACCACCTTCAAAACTACCAAACTCTTCCCAAAAGAACAGTGAGCTTTGAGAACATGCTAAAATACTATAAAAAAAAAATCAAAAGCTCTCCTATCCAAATCTAACTAGAGGGTACAGATTGCATAAAGCTATCAATTAGTTCAGGCCAACTTCAGAATTTACACTTCCTACAAAATATAAGATGGAAACAAAATCTGTAATCCCGACCAGTTGTGACATTAATTGATTCAATATGGTGATGGTTTATTCATCTTTGCAGTCGACACAATCTTCAAAAGATGCTATGATTTGAGCAAAATAAATGGAGGATTGGTGAATAGACTATTCTATTTGTTCAAACATACCAGTCAAATTGGAAGGAAATCAGTAAAAGGCTCGTAACAATATGATACAAAATAAGCAACTATCAAGAGTTAACATGTGCACAAAATGAGGTAACCAAACAAAATATTTATATAGAAGGGTGGCAACAAGCCAATTACAGCAAGGAAATAACCGTGTTGATAAAAGTTGAGGTAGAAGTGATGTCTAACCTTGTCATAACTATCAAAAAGGAGCAATATGTTTCAAGTTAAAAGGAGATGCTAGGACAAAAGTAAAGCTATCAAGGATGCATGTTGAGGTAGTTAGGAATACATTAACGATGACTTTGACAGCAAGAATAGCCATGCACATTATCGGTGGCTAATCAATTTTCATAATCCATGGAAAATAATTGGGATAAGGCTTAGTTGAGCATATAATCCCCTCAAAAATAAGATACAATGATAGAAGGCTATGGTGAAGGAAAGAAAAGGAATGTGCTCATACAGTCTATGAAGAGTTACAAGTCAAACCTCCTTAGACGTTAGCCGAAGAACATCACTCATCCTCAAGAACTTGTCAAGTGCTCTCTGTTCTTCAGGTGTTCCTGTCACTCGGGTCTTTCCCCCGTGGTCCAGGATAAAAAAAAATGGTTGTCCCAGCTTCAACAACATAATCCAGAACAGAAATAATCAAACAAGGGGATAGTTCATCAAAGCCATAACCATTGCTGAACAGGAGCTTTGATTGCTTAATTGCCATCTTTACTTCAATAGATAGCTTGCTCAGCCAACTGAATGTAGGCTCTTTACAAAAATCTGCTCGACTGATAAATAAGCAGAAGGTGTGATGCCCCATCCTTTGCTGACAACAATTCATTCAGACATTACTTCTGTCAAAAAATTTGTTTCCCTATAAAATTTATATAAATTTAAAGAAGAAATAAACCTTTAATTGATTATTTATACCTGCAAATAGCATGTCTATGAAAAGGGTACACGAAAACCCAGCATTGAAGTGTCTCGTATGCAGCACTTGAACTGTCAACATTGTCATTCAGGTCAGTCATCCCAACCGTACCAATTCCTTCATCATGAAGAACATCTAAGAGGAAGCGGCACATACATTTCATCACCAACATGACCAATTACAACACAATGAAGTCCTAGTCTTACTGCTACTATGGCCATATTGCAATTACCACCAGTTTCCCAATATTGCTATGAGCAATAAAAAATTATGTAAGTCCTAAACTGTGGTGAATAAGGGAAGAACATAGAAAAACAAACACAGATATTCATCTACAAACATGTATAGACACGTGTATGTGTGTGTGAGAACAGTGTTTTGACTACGGTATACATGAGAACAGTGTTCTGACTACAGGATACAATAATATGCATTAATACAGGATACATGAGAATAGTGTTCTGACTACTGGAAAAAAGAGTGGGGAAACAAATACATAATTAAATACGGTTGTGGTGTGTATGCAAGAAGGAATGGTGTGTATGCTACCAAGTTCAGTAAGAGAGTGTCCACCATAGACATAGTTGTGGTTCTTAACAAATGTCGGTGTAAAAGCACCTGGCATCATTGAACATCTAAATTTTACTCATATGCTTCATCACAGAAATCTAGTAAGAAAAAGTTCAACATAACTTACTGAAGTTGATCGGTCATCTTCAAACAAATCTAGTGCTTTTTCATATAACTGCATATTCAGGAAAGGCTGGAAGCAACAAATATGTAAGAAACATGAAAAGAAAGTTTAGCTTTAGCATGCCACTATTGCTTAACTACAATGGTAAAATAACAGCTCCAAAGGGTATAGCACAAAGTGGAACCAGAGGTAATCCTTAGATACAAAATGGGAAACTGCCTGGAGGTGGAACACATTATGGTGACAAAGCCACCACTGTATTATGCTTACCTCGTCAAGTCTCTATTGCAAATTATCTAGTAAACGTTTCATTCTCTTTGCATTTTATGTGAATGCAACCTTTCTTCTTTCTTTCCATGAATTGAGGAGCATTGGTCTCAAATGATGTGCTAAAGGAACAAGAATTGTCTCGAGATCATCTATACCTACAAAGTCACAACACCATGTCTATCAACATCAAGCATAAACGAAATGCCTGATCACCCAAATAATCAAGAAGATAATTGTAACTAAATTCAGAGCACCTTGTGCTTCAAAGTCAGGGACTAGCGCCATGATCTTTTGTTATGTCAATAATCATTGTTGAATCCTACAGTGGAACCCAAAGTAAAATACATGCATTAGTTTCAATACAAGTGGAGACCAATTGTTCCCACACCTTGTCATCTTTCTCATCGAGTTTCTTGATCTTTTGTTCATGTGCTTTAAATCTTCACAGTATTTAACATCCTTTCTTTCAAACTCCGTCAATTCATCCTTGCAACACCCATGTCCGCTATCAAGTTCCTAGATTTGAAAACTAAAGTTAAGAAATATGTTTCACTATTGAGTTTGACCTAATGTCAACTAGCATTAGCATGTACAAAAAGGTTTCTAAGACAAGGCATGCATATCTTAAAACCAAAAATTTACTGCAGCCAGCTTATTAGACACCACTACATCTAGTAGAGCACTCAACGAATACCTGAGAAACAAGAAAGTTTGCCATCTACAAAATACGTCGAAAGATTATCCAAGCAGAGGCCAGTAAACCAATTGTACAGTCACGTGATACAAAATACCCAAAACCAAATCAACAGCTCCACCCAAAAACTTCCTCCAGACAATTCTAAAGCAACAACCAACTAAGCAAATCACTTTCAAAACCAAAACTAACAACCTGCCAACTGAAATGCCCAGAAGTGGAACACATTATGGAATCATACAATATTTAAATACATAACAAAAAGATATTTCTTCAGCCACTTTAATGCAAGAGTCCATAATTCATCTGTTATAAAAAAGAAAAAAATACATTAATAAATTATCAATCAAATTTTTCAAAAACACTTAAGTGTTGCACTTAAAATGATAGTAAAAAGATACTTACTAAGACTCAAGTGGCATGTCTACATTAGTTGAGTTCGTGACAGTTGAAGTTGCATCTGCAAAAGTTGTTGCATCAATTGTTGCTGCGCGTCTTCAAACTTTTGTTGAGCGTCTTCAAACTTTTGTTGTACGCCTTCAAACTTCTCTAGCTTCTTTTTCATTTCATCATGTTCATTCTGAAGAGTATCAACAGTTGCTTGCAACTCCTTTATCATATCAGCTTGTTCTCAATACTCAGCAATGCATCTGAATGACTGACTAGAGGATGAAGGCTTTGGGCCATGTCCAAATCCTTTCTTATATCCAGGTCAGCTGCCAAGGACTGTGCATGCAATTTCATCCTGTGTCAATGGCTCTACACCATCTTCTACGTTCTGTGTGGCCAATTCTTTCATCCGCTCCTACAATTTAATATATTTAAACCCAATTATTGAGTGTATCATAAAAATTTATTTAAAACAAAAAAAACATAATTGTCTACAATTTTAAATACTTACATATCTTGACTTTGCCTCATCAGAAACCCACTCACCCTTCTTGTTCACATGAGAATAGTGAAAAAAGTCAACAATGTGGGGTGGTTCATCAGTCGTAGAATCCCTCTGTTACAGTTAATCAAAATATCAATATTCAAATTTATGAACATTCTATATATTAAAATTTAGAAAGCAAATGCTAAAGTATAACACCCTTTCATATAGGGCAGATTGAAAGGACTTTGAACCCATCGAGTGGTTGTATGGCAGTTT